ATTTGAAGTTTGATAGTACAATAAGAAAGTTTGGGTTTCAAGAAAATGTAGAGGACAATTGCGTTTATGCAAAGTTCAAGAATGGGAAATACATTTTCCTAGTCTTGTATGTGGATGACATCTTGCTCGCTAGCAGTGATGTCAATCTACTACTAGAAACAAAGAAGTTTTTGTCCTCAAAGTTTGATATGATGGATCTCGGTGAAGCTTCATTCGTCCTAGGAATAGAGATTCATCGAGATAGAGAAAAGGGGATTTTAGGATTATCACAAAAGGCATACTTAGAAAAAGTTTTAAAGAAATACAGTATGCAAAATTGTAAGTCATCACTTGCTCCCATAGTCAAGGGTGATAGATATGGAGAATTTCAATGTCCAAGGAACCAATATGAGATCGATCAAATGAAAGCGGTTCCATATAGTTCAGCTGTTGGAAGTTTATAGTATGCTCAAGTGTGTACTCGCCCTGACTTAGCATTTGTTACCGGGTTGCTTGGCAGATATTAGAGTAATCCAGGAATAGAACACTGGAAAATAGTAAAGAAAGTTTTGTGTTACCTGCAAGGTACGAAGGGTCTCATGTTAACGTACAGAAGATCTAATTCTCTGCACATAGAGGGGTATACAGATTTTGATTATGCGGGAGATGAAAGAAAGTCCACGTCAGGATACATATTCACTCTCACAGGAGGAGCTATATCGTGGAAAATCTCAAAGCAAACCGTCACTACATCGTCCATAATATATGCCGAGTTTGTAGCATGTTATGAGGCCACAGGGCAGGTGAATTGGCTAAAGAAATTCATGCCCGGGTTGAAAGTGGTAGATGACATACATAAATCACTCAAGTTATACTACGATAATAATCCAGCAGTATGTTATGCTCACAACAATAAGTCAAGTGGTGCTGCCAAATATATTGACATAAAGTATTATGTTGTGAAAGACAAAGTCCAGGATCATATAATTAGTCTTGAGCATATAAGAACAGAAAGATGCTCGTGGATCCGCTTACAAAAGGCTTACCACCCAGTGTGTTCAGAGAACACGTAGCCGCCATGGGTTTAAGGGAAACCCTATGATTCCTAGACAGTAAGGGTCTAGTTAAGAATCTATTTCAAAACAGAGATGTGCATTGTAGTTGTTTAATCTAATGGCAAGAGACCGTGACAATGAGGCACGCTCTATGCATTGATCTATGATGGAATGGGAACAAGAGAAAGTAAGTAAGTTAAGTTTAAGTTATAAGTGAGATCAAAGGGGAAAATGTTTGTTGATCTCCACCAATTGGCCCTAGGCCCTTGGATCCACGCCCTGATCGGGGGCGCCAACCCTAATATGGTTGGTGGGCCCTCATCGCATAGCGCCATAAATAGGAGGTGGGGGAAGTGGCGCTCGAGTCACGAGATTCGCCTGAGCCGCCTAGCACCCCACCTATAGTCCTAAACCCTAACCGATCACAAAGGGGGCGCCAGCGATGGGAAGCGCCGCCACCGCCTTTGCATCTACACCAAAGGGCTGCTACGACAATGGGTTGCCCTGCGACCTCTACACCGACCCCTAGATGATGCCGCTACTGCACCGTCACCCTTCAACTAGCATCGCCATCGGGTTATCGCCAAGCACTATGATGGAGAGCCCATCTTCCTCCAAGGCGGCCAATGGTTTGCACCCCTTCACCCCTCTCTCTCTCACTCAATCTCTTATCATGTACTAGTAGATATCCTAGGACTCACGATTTATTCAAAGTGCAAGTAGACATGCTAGATTTATGCCTAAAGATCCTATTTTAGGTTTAACAGGCGCATGGCATGATGGCGCAGCGGCAGGTTTGCCACTCCTGCATTTTGTCGGCCTATCTATGGCTCGCGACAGCGTGGATAAACTCACCACGGCTTAGTCGGCTCCTTGGTTGCAGCGGAGATGGAGTGGACGCAACTACCGTTGGTGATGGCAAACGCGGTGGCGCGAACCGGCGATGCTATGCCGTTTCAGTGGCTTCGATGCTCCACTGACAAAATAGAGGAGCTGATAAGGTCCACGGCACCAAGGAGAAGCTATATCAAGAAAGAAGAGAGAGAGAGAGGGAAGCACCCGAAATACCTGGAGACGGCGAGGGGCTTCACGGCGATGATGGTGGACTGCGGGCGTGCAAATGGTGCGTGCTGCAGTGTTGTCGATTCTGAGACTGGGTCAAAACGGAGCGCAAGAACGAGTCTGAGGCATCTGTGAAAGTACTTGGACGGGGTACACGGGCGACGGCGAATTTTGTCAGTAAGTGGAATCTTGCCGCCGGCGGAGTGGGAAAGGGAAAAAAAGAGAAGGCCGGCAGCTCGGGGTTTTAACTCCGAGGGCGAAGCTTCTCCACTTGCCAGCTCCTGCTTGACCTCGGCGACGCAAGCAGGTGCGTGCCCACATGCGCGAAAGCGAGCAAATTAGGGTGGCGGCCACCGGTGAAGCTGCTGCGTGGCAGCGTCGGCCAACTCGTGCGACACGGACTCTAGGGAGTGGCCCGATGCGGCCTCTCCCTCGTGGAGCCTAGGCTGGGGCCAGGTCGACCAGTTGCCGCCGCCGAGCCCTCTGCGGCCGAAGTCAGGCACTGGGCGACGCTCCCCTGCTCTGTTCACTCAAGGAGAGGAAGAAGGAGCTAGGAGTGAGAAAGAGAAATAGGATGGGGGTTTTAGAAAAGTTGGCGTGGCCAGGGTGTCCAATTGCAACCGTGGCACGGCCACGTCGGCTGTTGGCACTGGCACGGCGGGTTTTTGGACCTTTGGTGCACGGCGATGAAAGTTTGAGGACCTATATAGTTGTTTTTTTAGTTCAAGGATCTGAATGAAAATATTCTTAAAATTTGAAGACCCAGCGTGTATTTTACTCTCTTTTTATCATTCATGACCAATGGCTCCACTAGCGTCAGCACTCAGCACAGTAGTGGCCAGTAGTCAATACTGGTGTACAGTGCCATGGTTTCAAATCCCGTATTTCATTTTCTCCCTAACCTAAATCGTAACTAAAATATAAAATGGTAAGATTAACTACAAAACTCTAAAAATATTGTAAATTTTGGGGGCCATGGTCCTTTTAACCTTAGCTGAACTTTGCCACTGGTTGGTACATTTGATGTCTTGTTTCTGACAACCGAGCTTGACCATCTCTTACGACAACAGCAATACAGACTACAACAGCGTACTCACTTTGTTCCAAAATAATTGTAAATCTCATTTAATTAGTTAGCCAATTTTAAGTTTGATTAGATTTATAAGAAATAGTATCAATATTTACATATCTATCTAAATAGGTTTACTATAAAAAATATACAACATGACTAATCTAGTATTGCTTATTTTAGGTATCTTATTGATACTTCTTTTATATATGTTTAGTTAAATTTAAGATTGATTGATTTCTCCAAGTATGAGATATATATTTGTGTTGGAACCGAGGGAGTAGGCTTTGGCCGAAAGCTACAACCATACAAGCCACGAAATCACCCAACGGCCAACACGGAGAGCGAAGATTGGCTCAGAAAAGTAGCTCTCACTCTGGGCACTCTGCTTGGTCCTTGGCTGAACCCCTGCAGAACCACTTGGGCCTTGGCTGTTTGGTGCAAATGTACAGAATTGGGCTAAGGTCCAGCAAGATGGTTTGGGGAGCCCACACTGCGCTTTATACGCCAACAATGAATAACCATGTGTCTAAAATACACACTGCACATGTACGTTTGCAAATCTTGCAGGCGAATTGCAATGCGTGGAAGATTATTGATTTATTATGTAGTTTCGCCATTTCTAATGGAAAATTTATGAACTACTTTTTTCTGAATTAGCGAAAAAATATGGCTTAGTTTCTTTACCCACTAAAATTATGTAATGCTATCCACTTTTGAAATGGCGAAAATAGATTTTCATAGTCCTAAATGGCCACAATTTTAAATCTCTAAGTATTGCCGTACGAGAGTCTTAATTAAAAAGAAAAAGATTCCACGTTTTGAGGCCCTGCATTCCAGTTTCACCTTAAACTACTACTGCGGGCATATTGAAAGTACGACAATTGACAAGTGATAGCTGAAAAAATAAGGCTTGGTTTCAAAAAGTTTTAAAAAAGTGACGTAAAGAATCATTATATCGAATTTTACGGGCCTAAATCTTAAGTATTTGCAAAAAAGACTAATTACAGTTTGGTTGAAAAAAGATTCCACGTTTTGAGGCCCTGCATTCCAGCTTCACCTTAAACTACTACTGCGGGCATATTAGATACGACAATTGACAAGTGATAGCTGAACAGCTGACAAAGCTGCCAATGGTCAAATGAAAGTACAGTACTTGGCATTGGCACAATGACAACGGACACAAGCAAACTGATAAAAAGCTCTGGCGTTGTTATTGCCCAGCCCACATGGAGAGATCATCAACACCGACAGTAACACATTTACCAATGTCCGCCCCATAGATCACGAACTCAGAGGTTAACAAGCACCCTCCATGCAGGAATTCAATGTACTAATCACATTATAAAAACTGCAAGTGCTAGAAACATTCTGCACAATTTACATATATAATACAGGTTGTATCGATACAAAAAGTGTATACATCTTTCAACTAGATTGCCAAAATTTCGCTGGTGGGGACAATGGGGCGGCTATCAAGAACAACTGCTATGTTACACAACGCAAGACCGGATGCAGGAACCCAGCTGCATCTTAGTTCTCTTAAGTTACATTCTTCTTAGCAGTAATTCTATCACCATCATCTATACAAGTCCATCTCTTTTTTTTTTATTTGGGAATGAACAAACCCCCGCCCATTCTATAATGTGTATTTACCAACTACATCCAACACCCCCGTTTTCTCCCTCCCTTCCTCAAGTTTACAGATTGGCCTCATCTATGACTCGACAGAAGCCGAGTCGCCTTTTCTGGCTCCAAAATATTTGCTTTTGGGTTCAGTTGTGTTTGAGAAAGAATGGTATAATGTGAATATGGTATATAGACATGAAAGGATATTACAAGGTTTGCAAAAGATCATGATCCTGGAGGCATTCTTGGGGATTGGCATAGAAATAGTCCTCTTCCTTGGGCCTGTCAGGAATCACAATCCTCTTTGAAGCTGATCCCATCCGCTTTGCGTGGGCAACCTTGATCAATGCAGAGAACTCATCCCATCGCAGAGAACCATTTGTGTACTGGTCCACTAGCTCAACAATGAGTTTTCGGTCTAACAAGACTGTCTTCTTGTAACCCATGAATCTAGAAACAGAAAATGAAATAATACAAGTAATTACTACAAATGATAAACTGCACACCTTTGCAGCATATAGTAGAAAGCATGATGATGAAATATCCCTATAGCTATCAGTGTGGAATTACCAGTAACTAACATGCTACATAGAAATTGCAAAAAATAAGATATCTAATATGTAGTCACTAATAATCAACTTCCCTGAACATATTTCCCGATTTCAGCTTCAGAAAATAGGGAAATATAAAAAGTTCTACTGTTTCTATGCTGTCTCAAAACTCAATTGCACAAATCTTAAGGCATCACTGTTAGTATTGAGGAATTGATGGTGGTTGAAGACAATATCATCAATGTGATTTAAAACTTTAACAGTTCATATTTCTCAGGACAACATTAATGCAACACAGAAGAAACAATTATGAAAATACAATTAGCATGCTGCCTGGTATGTCAAAACTGCATACATATGCTGTAATATAAATTGTATGACAAAGTGGAATAGTGCAAACCTCCGATGACCCTCAACGACTTTAGCCATATTTCCATCATATGTTGGAACAAATATATCACTTTCTAAAGATACTAAGTAATCCAGTGCTGCCATTTGTGATGAATGGTTCTGGAAAAACATCAGATCAGAAGGTTCCAAAAGTGTCTCCTTCCTCACCTACAGATAATGGTTGTAGCAAGACATCAGCAATGAGAAAAGAAGAGATGGAGTACTGTATAACAAGTACGACACAATAGATGCATAATATATTTGTGCACACACCACATTCGGGTACGCTGAAGTTAGAACAGCCATCCTGCGCTTTCCACCGTATATTTCCCCAGCAGCAATGTATATTTGCATACTTCTATCGATGTCAAGTGCTCTGAGGACAAGAGCAGTCTCCTCAGGCGTCAATGGGCAAAGGCCATCTTTTCTTTTCAAGTCTGAGTCAATCACTTTTTCTTTCCACCATGGATAAGCATACCTGAAGACAAAAGTAGTTTGGAGCATGTCCAGTCAACAGAACAACTACAAATAAGAAATAGATGAAATTTCACTGCAGGTTAAAGGTACGATTCCCAAATTTCACCTCATTCTTGTGAGTTCTTCTGCCTCCTCAGTACTGCAACCTTGTGTACAGCCAGAAAAAGCCAGCATATCCATTTCATAACGTAAATGAAGTACCAAGAAAGGTCCATTTTGGTGAAGAATTCTAATTACTCGCTTGCCCAACTCTTCAATTTGTGGGGTAAATCTGAGAGAGGCATAATTTACTCGGCATCGCAGTTTCTGAATCTCCATTGGTAGACCATTGTTTGCTAGCCTGGCATCAGTTCTATTAAGATGGAGAACCTTGTACTTACGAATCAAAGGAAGAATCTGATTCAAAATTAACCAAGTGTCAGTTTATACAATAAATTCTGCAATGTAGACTAGTCTTGGCATTGAATATGATGCTGATTACCTGATTTTGATAGTAGGAGATATCAGACCAACTTATTGGAGGCATGGAATGAAACATTCCAAGTTCAACTCTTCTCTTTACCCTTGGGGGTAACTCTCTCAGAATACGAACTTCACCTCGTAATGAGGTTATAAAGTGCTCGACATCAAATATATCTTGGAACTCACTGCAGGATGAAATGGACTGCTGCAGTTAAGCTGCCTGACATAAACACAAGTCTCAGTAATAGTTTAAAAGGCAATTTGAAGTCGCCAAACAGCACCTTGGATCATTCCAAAACGAAGTCTTATCCAACTCTGGCACAACTAAAGTGACATTCAAATATCTTGCAATTACAACCATGTCACATATCTGATAAAAAAGTAGGGAAGGCCAGAAGCCAATGTTAAGAGTCAGACGTTGTAAAGGAAATGGCCAAATCAATACAAATAAGGGTTTTCTTTTTTTTGGAGGGACAAATAAGGGTTTTCCGATTGCTTACTGCAGCTCGCATTTGGTTAAGCCCACCATTGCACGAAACCATCAAGTAACCATTGTTCCTATATATTCCTGGAAGGCATTGACAACAAAACATCAGCGAAAGGAAACACTAGAACATGCACAACGTATTTTACTAATTGGAACCATAGCTATAATATTGGTGCGCATTGAGTACTTGAATAGCAACTAGAAAATTATGACCACACTTTTGCAGTCATTCATTAGGAAAGGCATTCAGTTCATGGAAATGCAGTGTGCAATATAATGTCATATAACAACCAAGGTCTTTGTTGACAGGTGCAATTAGCTTGGCTCCTATAGTCCTCTGTCTGAGCTGAAATGTGTTCTAAGATCTAAGTTACCTCCTAATTGACAAAATCAAGTGCTGTTTCACCAAATGCAATTACGGTTACTAGAAAAAGACCCATGAGGCAGCTACCCAAGAGCTGCTGAAAAGCCTATGAAAATGTGGCCCACCTAAACAGTATGCATGAAAATACAGCGAAACGCAAATATCATGGTCAGAATACAATAACCAGAAGGTCCAGAACGGCAAAATTGTTGTCCTACCGACCAAAAGAAGGTAATGCAATTCCCAATTCCCAATATTACCCCAATGCAATGTGAACGGCATGCACGACCTGACGTGAGTTTTTATACCAATATACTGATCCAATAACGTGGAAACGATGTGAGCATGATTGCATCATCAAATGCTGCGGAAAGCACCACACACATACAGGTGACATTATTAGCACAGAACGAAATCCGCGTGACGCCCTGCATTACGCGGGGCTTTGCCAATCGGAGCACATGAAAACGACCGAAATCTTCACCAATCACAGGTCGCTTTCATGCGAGACCGAGGAAATGTACGCGGGAGCTTTGGAGGGATCTACCACGGCACGATGCAGGCGGGCTGTCAATGTCCAGCTGGGAACCGCATTGTGATTGTCCAGAGCGCAGACAGCAGGTCGAAACAGGGCAAAGGAAAGCCGAAAGCGAGGAAACAACCAGAGAAATGATGAGGAGGCGAACTCACTTTTGGGCGGCAGCGCGGCGGCCCTGTCGACGAGAGGCCGCGGGCGCGAGGCGGCGGCGGCCGCCTCCTCATCGTGCGGCGTGAGGCAGGAAGGCCAGCCCTTGAGCACCCTTGGGCCCCAGGTGTCCCCGACGGCGGTGAGCTGCACGACGCAGGTCCAGAGCAGCACCGTGGTGGTGGCGCGCACCAGCCAGAGCTTCATCCGCGACCGCGCGGCGGTGGCGGAGGAGGAGGGAGGGAACCTGAGCTTGTCGCCGCCGGGCGCCGCCGCCGCTGCCGCCTTACCCCCTGACGCCACCTTCCACCCCATGGACCATGGACAGAGGCACCTACGGACGGCGCCGGGAGCGTCCGAAGCAAGATGGGAGGGCTCGTCCGAGGATTAAATCGGCTGCCTCCTCGGCGCTCGCGGCCAATGCAGCTACGAGCAAGGCCACCAACAGCACCGCTCGCCAACTTGGCGAGCTTGCAGGAAGCCGAGCACGTCACCGGCGCCCAGCCAACCGGCCGGCTGCCCTCTCGCTCAGGCTGGCACCGCGCCTCTTCGGAATCGAATCCACCTCCTCGTGCCTCCTCCTCCTGCCCAGTGCTCCGTTCCCTGGCTGGACCGGGCAGCAAAACCGGCGGTCGGTCGCAGTAGCGGCGCGGAGGTCACGAGGAGGCAGCGTGGGCCGCCGGAGGACGAGTGCAGGGCGCCGGAGAGGAGGCGGCGTGGATCTCGGGGCCAGGACCAGCGCAAGCGCAGCGGAGCGAGGAGGAGGGGAGAGAGAGAGAGAGAGAGAGAGAGGGAAGGAAGGTGGAGCAATTTGTGGGGACGCCTAGTTATTTTTGGGCGTCGGTGCCTCGCCTCGCCTTGCGAATGCCTGCCCTGCCAGCCTCGCCTGCCGGCCTCGGTCCGTGGTGGTTGCTTGGCCAGTGGTGGTGCGTGTGCGTGTGTGCGCGTAGCGGTGTTAATGCGCGCCCCGCCGCTGCGTGTGTCCGTGCAGCGGAGGAGGAGGGGGTAATTGGCGGGCGGCACCGGCGCGGTGCCACACGGGGGACGTGGAGGGCCGGGATTGATGGGGCGTGGAAAGCCGTGGGGGGGCGAACGGCTTGGATTCGCCGGCGGAGTAGTTGGGGAGGTGGGGGAGATGGGGGATGACAGTAGTATAGTATGGCACGTTGGCGAGACGTTTTGTGGGGATGGACAATTGGAGATGGAGTGGGACGCTGCCACCCGTGACGACGACGGTGGCTGCCGGCGGCCGGCGAGGCATGTTTTAACCGGCGAGACGACACGGGACACAGCCCCAGTCCACTTGCGACTTGCCCTGGGGTTGGGTTATTATTACCCGATCCTGGTGGCTGGAGGCTGGTGCAGGGGGCAGGGACCCAAAGGTGGCGCTGTATTGTATTGGTCACATGCCGCTGTTGGTATCTTCGCACTGTATATTCTCGGTTCTAGGGTTGCCTGCTGGCGCAGGACATCATGAAAATTCTACAATTGACCGCGTGCATAGGGCCATAGGGTCGTGTTGTTTTCTCATGGAAAATTCCCTCGTGTTGAACTGTTGATAGAGAGGTTCGTTTCTGTAGCATGTTCGGCTGATGCTGATACGATCGTGGATTATTACTGCTGACTGATTTGGTGTGAAAAAAAATACTGTTTTGACTAAAAATTTACGATCGTTTACGACCGAAGCGAATAGATACTTCCTTTATGTTCTTTCATTCGCTCTGTTTCTTAGTCACACTGGTTGAAAAAGCATGCCAGATATTGGAGCCTAGCTCTTCATCTGGAATAAAATGCGTGAATATATTATTTGGACATGGGAACAATTTGGCTCAACAGGAACCTACAATACTTGGTTAGATGGCACAGTTAGTTAGGTTCATGTGGTACGTAGCAATGTACTTGTCAATAGCAAGAGGCGCTTATTTTTATATCAAAAGCATTTACCTAGCTTTATTAGAAAGCGTATCGAACACCCTGATTCGATGGGGACACTGGGGACACGAGCTTACAATATAGTACTTAGAGAAAGAGGCGCTTATTGTAACTTCAAATTTGATTTAACGACATTTTGGGAAGCTGACAGGGCATGTCTTCTCTTCGTTACATTGTGCATCATCACATACATACGGTAAAATGTTATATCTCATCTCTCCGTAGAGATCTTATTTACAATAAAATTTAAAGTACGCAAGGAATTATTTACATTCGACCGGAATCTAGCTGCCAGTAGTTTACTACAGATGCACATAAATTCCACAGTTGATTCCGATATTGCCAGCCCCTGCTTTCAGCATGGCCAATGGGATTTTTTATTTTTAACACTTTTTTTAAACTAATTTCAAATCAAATAACATTGTTTTTTTTTTTTCAAAACTAATATTTTTGGTCGCGCCTATTGTCATGGCATGGTGAAACGCCTGTGCCGCGTCATGGATGGTGGCGCGGCAGGAGGATGACGTGGCGACAACCGGGGCTGCTGACCGGTGACGTGGCAGAGTCTGCCGCGCCATCGATCTTGGCGCGGCACTGATGCGCCATAGACCACGGCACGGCAGGCCTAGGTAAATATCGCCCGTGAGCCGCCGCCTCCCTCCTCTGTCATCGCGCCACTGCCGCCGCTCGCCCGCCCCCCGCCACGCCGCGCACGCCTGCACGGCGCCGCCTCGCCTGCCGCCCACTCCTCGCCAAGACGCCGCTACTGGCCTCGCCATGAACGCCGGCCGCACACACCGAATTGTCACCGCCCGCTCATATCAAGGTAGCTCCCTCTCTTGATTTTATGTTATTATGATTGTTATTTTAGTTAGGGTTAGTGATTTAGGATAGTTAGGTTAGTGAATTTGTTTATTTAGGTAGGTACTCCCTCCATCCCAAATTGTAAGTCATTCCAAGAATTTTGGAAAGTCAAAGTTTTTCAAGTTTGACCAAATTTATATAACAAAATAATAATATTTATCATACCAAGTAAGTATCATTAGATTCTTCATTAGTTATATTTTCATATTATACCTATTTGATGTCATCAATCTTTGTGTTTCTCTCTATAATTTTAGTCAAACTTGAAAAAGTTTGACTCTCCAAGATTCTTGGAATGACTTACAATTTTGGATGGAGGAAGTAGTTTTTAGGGTTTAGGTTGTGTGTTGTAGTATAGTTAGGGTTTAGGTTACTGTTAGTTAGGATTTTGGGTTTAGGGATTGATTAGGTATTTATTATTTAGTTAGTTTATAGTAGTAAAGGTTGTCAGTATTGATACTAGTTTTCAAGTGTCGGTACTTAGTAGTGCGTTATACGGTGATTTGGATGACTTGATGAAGTTTCGTCAAATGCTTATTTTTCCAGTGAAGTTGTTTAATATGTCTGTTAATGTTACTTTGAATATATACATGTGCTTTCATATTGTGTTCGTATTGCAATGCTACATAATGTTAATTTGAATATTGTTAATTTGAATACTCTAACCCTTTGTTTATCAATTTGTAACAGAATGGCCCCTCCCACGCAGCACCCATTGTATCCCCTTCTTGAGGTGGATTACGATAACCAGCACCGAACACACATCTTGAGTGACACCGACACAGAGGTGGCCTTGCCTCCTTTGAGGCCCCGCACGCACACCAGGGCGCACCAGTGGGACGAGCATTACGCGTCGTACATACGGCGCGCCGGCTTCCTCGAGCTTGTCTATGTTGTCAACCACGGTCTTCCGCCCTTTGATCCAGCACTACTTACTGCAGCTGTAGACAGGTGCGAGTACCTTTATTGTACGTAAACATTCTTATAACAAATTTGAGGCAACTAACAGTCGTTCTATTCTTATAACAGATGGAGGCCTGAGACCCACACATTCCACCTACCTTGCGGTGAGATGACCTTGACTATGCAGGACGTGAAGGCTATCTTTGACCTTCGGTTGGATGGACTTCCAGTGACAGGTATAGTTTACAACGATCACTGGAGGGGGCTGGTGGCTCAGTTCATTGGCTTTTTTCCACCGGACGATGAGGTTGCCAAGAAAAATAAGTAAGCAATTCAAGCCTATTTAATACTTGCATTGCTTTCCTGCAGCCATCGGGTCTCATTTTCTTTGGTGAATTTCAGGAAGAGTTCCGGTGTTTCATCGTCGTGGATCACAGAGCGCTTTGATTACTTGGATCCACAGGCTGATGAGGCTCAGATCGACAGGTTCGCTAGAGTGTGGCTCTGGCACTTCCTTGGTGCTTTCCTCTTCCCAGACGCCTCGAGTAACACCATCAGCTGGATCTTCCTTGACATACTACGCCAGCCGTGGGAGAACATAGCGGCGTACAGCTGGAGCAGCGTAGTCCTGGCATGGACGTATCGACAGCTATGCGTTGCCTGCCGTCGCACCTCAGGGTATGCGAACCTTGGGGGTTTCTCTTATCTACTCTAGGTTTGGTGTTGGGAACGATGGCCCGTTGGGAGGCCCCTTGCTACTGGTTTATCGGTAAGTACTTCGGTTCACTATATTCTTCAAGGCAGTTACATATGATGAAATTATTAATGGCTAATTCATTATCGTGTTCAATGCAGCAATGAAACGGGCAGGATACACTCCCTACAGCTCTGTATATCTGGACGGAAGCAGAGTTAGTTAGAGGGAATGCGAGGCGCAAGTACAGGAAGTACACGGATGATCTCGACATCCTGACACAGCATCAAGTTATGCTCTCTTTACTATCATACATGTGTCTTGTTCGGAGTACACTATATCACAACCTAACTTAATTACAAAATGTTCAGGTGCATTGGTGTCCTTAGGATGCTTCGGAGCTCGAGTACTATCTGAGTCTTGTCATTAGGGATGAGTCAGACGAGTATTGCTGCAACGTCCCTCTTATTTTCTTCCACGTGGTCGAGATTCACTTGCCCATCAGGGTTTGCAGGCAGTTTGGAAAGAATGACAGGCTACCCACCACCGCTTTACTCCACCAACCAAGAATTACACGGGTGCGTTATTGATTAATAACAAAGCTACAATTCAGAGGTGTGTGTGGTACAACTAATAATCATTTTGTTGCAGGTATGACCGTAGGAAGAGTTACAAGACCAAAGATTGACGCGTGACACACAACGCGTACATCTAGTTGTGGCAGAACCGGGGCCGACAGGTGGTCCATGCGGGTCCCCCACACGACCAGCACACCTTCGATGAGTACCTACGGTGGCTTCACAGGTCTATGAGGACACATATCAAGCCCCCGTATACTGAGGAGGCGATTAACAAGAACTCAGAGGAAGATGTGATCGAAGATGTGTACGACGTTGCCACTAGGCCCGACACACAACTACAG